AGTATGGCTCTCTATTACCTTGTTTATACCTACGCAAGACCGAATTAACAAAAAGCTAAATTGACTCAAGACAGATTTCTTTCAAGCATTTATACCTGTGTCGTTATAGCGTACTCGCAGAAACCGTATTCAAAAGTAAACAACTTTTGTTATTTTTATTCGATATTTCTTAAATAATTAAATTGCGTGGTGGACCGAAATGGAAGCGAACAAGAATTCAACTTGGTTATAATAATAATTCTAATTTAAAACGGGCTGTGTAAAGATAACCAGCCTTTTTTCACTTCGCGTTTAATGAGTGATGTGTTTTCTAACCGATGTTAGAAATAAAAAACCGATTTGAAAACAAATTCGAGTCAATACACTTTTGAATTTCTGAGCGTATTGAAAGTTGGTGTATGCTTAATGTGACCAACCGTACTTCTTTCGGAAGTACAGTACTTCTTTTTTATAAGCTTTTATTCGCTCTTGTACTTCGTACTTCGAAGTACAGTCAAATGTACTTCTTTGCGATATTTTGTAGGTCAGGGGTGAGATTCTGTAACCAGTTAGCGACAATTTTCGGATCGGATATAAATGTTTTTGCATCAAAAAGTGCGATAGAAATTCGAAAATTGTCGCTAACTGGTTACAGAATCTCTCCCCTGGTCTTGTACCTCTCCGATCTTCTGGGCGATAAATTCGCCATTAAAGTCCTGCACAGCTGCAAAGGGCTCTGAAGATGTCGTGCAATTGGTTGAACCCTATTTATGCGAACTGGCTTGGAGGGTAGTCAGTGTTGCGTTCATCGCGAAGGCCGGAAAGGTTCGTTTTCTAAACACGCTAGAGATACTGATAGAGCTGTACATAAGAAACGCGATTCCTCGTGACTGTCTTTCAAGAGCTTTTTGGAAGAAAAGGTCGGTGAATACCGCTCTGCACACATTGGTAAAGTGGTCAGAGGAAGCCTTCCCGCATGAAGTTTATGCAGTAGGGGCCTTCTTCGATATCGAGGGGTTCTTCAGCAATGTCATTCCAGAGGCAGTAGTCAAATATATTCATAATCTGGGGGTCGAAAGCAATCTAATAGGGTTTATCTACAGCTTACTTCGTGACAGAACTGTCGCGGCGGAGTGGGGGAACGATTGCACTCAGTCCAGAGTCAATAGGAGCACTCCACAAGGTTGTTCTATCTCCCCTGCTCTGGATTGGGGTTGTAAACGACCTTCTAGAGGAACTGGAAAAAGTGGGCTGTCGGGTGATCGCCTATGTAGATATGGAAGTTTTGGTTGAGGGACGATTTCTGTACACCCTTTTTGATCTGGCTCAAAGTTACCGTAACCAGGTAACTGGGTGACTGACAGGTAACAAGATCAATAGAAATAAGGTCAATTGACACTATTTCGTGCACTGGTGAAAAACAGAGTTAAATGACATTATTACCGTTTCACCATAGATATTATTGCCCTTTTAAACACTAAGGGCCAATTTCACAGTGCGTAGTTAACTCAGAATCGGCAGCTAACTAGAGATTTTCAGTACAAAAATCTGTAGTTATCTGCTGATTCTGAGTTAACTACGCATTGTGAAATTGGCCCTAAATTTGCGTAGCTTCGCGGCGGCCGCGTCTGCGCACCACGCAGAGCCGCGCTTGAGCATTGTTACCGGTATTTCCATTTGAATGAGGAAGTAGCATCATTTACTTTGTTTCCAAATTTTTGTTGACTTTATTTCGCTTTTGAAAAGGTAATAATGTCAATTGATTTTATTTCGCACCAGTATACGAAATAGTGTCACTTAACCTTATTTCCGTTGATATTGTTACCTGTATCAACTAGGTGACCGATCAACGGCGGCAGTCGTGGAAGCATAACATTGAGGAAAGGGTAGGAAAGGTATTGGCTGCCTTGTACTGCTGTAGGGGAGCTATCTGTAAAAGGTGGGGTCTCACCCAAATTAATTCATTAGCTCTAGGAAACCAGATTTAAGCCTATATGGTTTCAAGGAGCCCTTGTCTGGTGGAACTCACTAGAGAAGGCTACACTTGTAAAACAGGAATTAGCCAACCTTCGGGAGGCGAAGATGGAAGAATTTGGCTGGCACTTCTAAACTTAACTTCTTTGAACTATGAAATAGTTGGTCACATTATTTATGCTTCCGTTTTGAATCACAGCGAACTGGGTCAAATCACTTTATGTGTTGGTATAAACAAGGTATATTACAATATTGTCACTCCGAGTTTTCCAGAATATCAATTTTTTTTTAATTTTGCCATGATATTAACATAAGTTGTTTTACTTGTCTAAGTGCATTGCAGTTAAGAAGCGCAAAAAGTTATTGATCGAATGGCATAGGAAATAACTTAATAAAAGTAATTATTTTGTGCTTTTAAGTGAATTTATCATGGTCACACTTAAAATAAGATAATTACCAATGCCCATTATTGCTTAAGGAGTTTCAATGATTTCCTTGTTTTTATATTTTAGTGAAATAAAACCCTTAGAAAAAAACCAAAACATGTGAAATATTTCCAGAATATGATTTTTAGTTAAAAAGGATTTTTATTTAAATAGCTTATTTCTCCAAAAGTGTTCAAATGGCATATATGGGTAATTTTTGCTGAAGAAAGATCAAACAAAAAGCCTGCCTCCCAAGAAAAACCTCAGGCTAACGTCATAAAGAAGGTGGGAAAACTTCAACATTAGCTTATCTGATAAATGAGTATCGAAGTGAGCCTGAAAGCAGTTTCGTATTCTGCGCAAATTTTCACGTCAGTAAACGATTTCAGAGGATAAATTTATCAATCTTAAAAAATATAAATATAAATATAAATATAAATATAAATATAAATATAAATATAAATATAAATATAAATATAAATATAAATATAAATATAAATATAAATATAAATATAAATATAAATATAAATATAAATATAAATATAAATATAAATATAAATATAAATATAAATATAAATATAAATATAAATATAAATATAAATATAAATATAAATATAAATATAAATATAAATATAAATATAAATATAAATATAAATATAAATATAAATATAAATATAAATATAAATATAAATATAAATATAAATATAAATATAAATATAAATATAAATATAAATATAAATATAAATATAAATATAAATATAAATATAAATATAAATATAAATATAAATATAAATATAAATATAAATATAAATATAAATATAAATATAAATATAAATATAAATATAAATATAAATATAAATATAAATATAAATATAAATATAAATATAAATATAAATATAAATATAAATATAAATATAAATATAAATATAAATATAAATATAAATATAAATATAAATATAAATATAAATATAAATATAAATATAAATATAAATATAAATATAAATATAAATATAAATATAAATATAAATATAAATATAAATATAAATATAAATATAAATATAAATATAATTATAAACATAAAAAAATACCTGACATATACACTCTGTTTGGAAATTACCCACATACATATGTATGTATATACTACACATCCCATTGGGAAAATAGGTAAGCACCTTACGAAGTAAGCCATGTTTTCTTTCAGTTTTTAGTACCAAAATTGTCATCATGGCCAATGTTATCGACTAGTAAAGCGCAAAATGAACACCTCCGACGACACATTACGTTGTCAGTTGCAAAGTAACGTGCAGCCGAAGTTATTTCCAAGCCTTATTATATTTCCATAGCTTATCAGCAACTTACACTTCACCCGGCTGTCCTTACCACGTCACTGACGAATCTCCCTTACTTTAACAAAAACGTGGCCGCCTTATGTAAGTAGGAATTTAGAATGTACATTTGGTATCACACATACTTCTGAGCCGCTTTACAAATTAAGTTACGTGTAATGCAGAGCAGTAGCTCGGAGTAGTTCGGTGCTTGGAAATAACTTCGGCTGTACGTTATTTTGCAACTGACAACGTAATGTGTCGTCGGAGGACTTCATTTTGCGCTTTACTAGTAGATGACATTGGTCATGATGACAATTTTGGTACTAAAAACTGAAAGAAAACATGGCTTACCTCGTAAGGTGCTTACCTATTTTCCCAGAGGGATACGGCGTGTATGCCAAACGCAATGCCCCGCATGAAATGACGGTGACGCGCAATAATGTCAATGAAATTAATGTCACTGACGTTAATACACAATTGAAAAGTGAATTAATGTCAGTGACATTAATACACAAGCCAAAAGTGAAATAATGTCAATTGATATTAAGTCACTTTGGAGTTTATTCACCGTCTAAAAGTGAAGTATGTAATGTTGTAAAAATAGCCCGCTGAGCGAATGTGGATTGCCGTGGTGTTATGCACTTTTAAAGCTGTATACTATGTATGCCGTATGTTAGAAGTGTATTTTGTCAATATTTTTTTGAAAGAGCAATAATGTCCATGCGCTTTCGAAAAGGTAATGCTATTGCCTATGGACGATAAGAAATAGTGTCCATGGACGTTATTTCCGATGCGCCTTATTACACGTCACCGTAAAGCTTGCATGATTTTTAACATTTTTTACATTAATTCACTTTTCGATTGTGAATTAATGTCAATGACATTATTTCCACAATTCCGCTGACATTATTTCGCTTTTGGCCTGTGTATTAATGTCACTGACATTAATTCACTTTTCAATTGTGTATTAATGTCAGTGACATTAATTCCATTAACTTTATTGCACGTCACCGAAATGACACAAAACCAATTTTATTTCGGTTATCCTGTTTCAATGGTAGCCTACTCTATAAAGTTAAATTGTAAATATTTAGTAGTTTCAGTTGAAATACCATTCAAACACTTTGAAGGATTTCAATTTTTTGCTCTTTTGGGAAATGTTCGGACCATCTAATGCGTGATATTGCATTTTGTGGACACACCTCTTATTGCGACGAGAAGTCTTTTATTTGATATTTGTACATACTTGTAATTTGTTTTGACTATTTATTTTAAATCAATCGATTTTTTACAGGTACAACTATCTGGAACGTGCACGCCTTCCAAGTAGACTTCACAATTCGTTTACCGGCCGGGGCGAGGAAAGTCCATCCGCAAGCGACGACGATGAGGATCAAGAGGAAGAACAAAATGTAACGGTACAATTAAATGGGACAGCAAATGATTCCACACAAACCTCAACACAAAGCACAACACGCATCTACGCGAGTATAGGTCGTCGTACCACGACTACAACAACAGATACTCCAACCACCCAAGAAACTCCAACTAAATACAATTTATTAGAAAACACGTTTAACAACGAAACACCTGAACCAAATTTACCTATTACTACCACTGCCACAACAGCAAAAGACTCACCCACTCTATCAATAACCATCAAAAATACTAATCCCGATATCATGCCCATTGTAACCACAACCGCCACATCCACATCCACATCCAATCCTACCATTTCCACTACAACTGCTTCCGCAGCCACAACTACATCAACCACATCAAACGATATTGATCTTAACGATTCCGTACCCACAATAACCACTCTTTCACCAAACTTTAAGCAAGAATCAAAAGAGCCTTCACTCCTTTCACTTGATGTCAATCCCCTTATTGAAAAATCCGCCTCTAAGTCAAATCCAACGACCGCAAGTGCTACTGAAAAAAAGGAAATTGAAGGCATTGAGGCGACAGCAGCCACAACCACTACGACTGAAACATTGACAAGCACCGCCACAGCAACAGCCACCACTACAACGACTGACACTGACCAACCCCCCACCGTCGACGAGGTAACGAATTTAAGCAATAATCGCTCAAAGACACAATATAAGTACACAACAAGAACACGAAATGTAACAATACCAACAACAACCAAAACCAACACTGACTCAGACAACATAGATGATGAAAATCATATTAACAGCACAAACAACAAGAAAAACTACAAAATTTCAAGTGAAACAAAGAAAACTAGTCTGAAAGCGGGTAGTAGTAGTAGTACGAATGATAAGCTAAGTAGTAGTAATAGAGGTAATACCGTTAAATACTCTGGTGGTAGAAGACAACAACAATTGAACGAGTTACTAACTCGCAAAAATCAAATCCAAAATCAACAGACGGATCCCACAACGGATTCCTCAACCATCATAACTACTACCGAAACAGCACCCACTAACGAGTTCCTGGGGCAAATATCTAGTCCTAGACCTTTCGGTTTCCCCAGGCATCGTACGCGCCCGAACAGTTCCAATCCAACAAATACCGACGAAATTAAGTCCACCACTGAGAGTGCGGAAGAAGATGAAAAAAGCGTAGTTAAGACGAGGTTATCAGCGGCAAGTGCTTCCAAAAATAAGGTGAGTTCCAATTCAGATGTGTTGCAAGTACAAAAAGGATTGGAAACAAATGAAGAGGGCAGCACTACGCGCACCCACACAAAAACAAAAATGCACACCCACACGCATGTAGTAGATGAAGTAGACGGTGTTAGTGGTATAAGTAGAAACACAAGTAGTCTAAAGCATGTTGTAGATAGAAATTATAGATTAAGTATAAACGAATCACTTTCAGCAGAACAGAGTGACATTAGAGCGAATGCATCCAGTGAGGTAAAGAGTTCGAAATTCGAAGGCAATGCCGAACAACTCTCTAATAGAACTAGTGACAGCCAAATTTACGTTAAAGTTACACAGCCGAATACGTTTTCTACAAATTCCAAAGACGAGACGTTCAAGACAAGTAAGTATCGCGGTAAAAGTTTGACGACAGAGAATGGGTCAGAGGAAAATGGCGTTTCAAAAGTGGCGGACGGGAAGACAAATTTCCGTAGCCGAGGTTTGAAAATGCTTAGCGATGAAGAAGCCATGGAGACAAACGGTGAGCAAAATTTGGGTGTAAAAATAGAAACAAAAGAAATTACTGAAATTGCCAGCTTCAACCGCGCTCAGTCTACAAATACTACACTCATCAAAGACACAGATTCCGAACTGCCTCCTCAATTCAATAGAACCATGATGGAAACCATAACGGATGAAGGTAACGGCGAGTTGAAAATCCAAAGAACTTATACCACAATCACCAGGAATGCAGATAGCTTGGAGCAAGAAAATTCGATTGCTGCTGGAGATTCTAATTTTGCAACCGGAAGTGCATTCGTATCCTCCAACGACATCCAAAACACAACCACTGTCGAAACACGAGATGATGGCAGCGTAATTCGTACAACAACTTATCACATAACTAATACAAGTGAAAATGGCACAGTTATAACGACGACAGTCGAAGAGACAACAATAACTAGAACAAAAGTAGAAAGCCTCAATGTGGGTAGTAATGTGTATAGTGGAGATCGCCACAAATATCAAACAATAACACGTCGTACAGAGGGTCATGATCCATCCACTGAAAACATTCGTTACAAAGCCATTGTGCGGGGCAACGAAGGTGTACACTTAAGCGAAGATAAGTCTTCCTCATTCTTCCGAAATATTGCAGAAGTTGCAAAGCAAGCGGAAAAAAAATCTGAAAGCATGTACCAGGGTATCTCACGTGGTGGTCACTTACCGCAATCTTTTCGTGAAAGCACCTCGGGACAAGTTACAGGGATCGAGGACAAAAATTCGAAAGCAGATAACGCAACGCTCACTAATGAGCGAGATACAAACAAATATCACACAATTAATCGTACCCACTCAGCGGCTATTAACCAAGATTACTCAACTTTACAGACGTCAAACCAACGCGAAAACAGCCGCTTCACTGACAAAACGAGTAAAGATTCCACTGGTGAGTGGGTTGGTGACAATCTGTCAAAATCACAAACGAGCTCCCAAGAAATAAATAAGCTTAAGGTGACAAATAGTGTAGCTGCCACAAATGGGTCTGCTGCAGCTCTAAATAACAAAACTGCGACCCTTGAGGGCGCAATGGAAGCTGAGAATATCGCGGCGGAAATTTTTGACGCAGAAATAAGCTTAACAGGACCAAATTTAAAAAATATTTCCGCAGAAATCTCAGTTTTTGAAACAAATTCGAAAACCGAAAGATATTTCCCAAACAACCCCACAGATCTTGATTATACTACTATTTCTGTGGAATTAACTACTAATATTCCAGAAGTTAGTGAAACAACTCTGTCCTCCACAGAGCACACTGAACAGCAAGTCATAAAGAAGAATTCAACTGAAATAAAATTTACAGTTCGAAATAGACCTACTCCCATCAAACCGCATTCACCAGCACACACTGTCACCAGTACAACCTCTCGGAAAGGAACAACAGACATCACCGAAGATAGCTCCATCGAAAAGCACCAGAAGGTACGAAGAAAACCAACTATAATCACTGCACCAGAAATTACCGCCGCCAGTAAAGCTGCAATATCCTCAGAAATGGGAAAAATGTCTAACAAACAAGTTTTTACACGTTATAAGGCTCTCTCATCATCCGAAAACGTAGAGAAAAACTCGACTGAAGTAAGATTCAAAGTTCGCGGCAAACCAACTACAACTACAGAACCAGAGGTTACAGACTTCCCAGGATTGAGTGAAACTATATTATCATCCTCCTCTGAATCCGGTGAGATTTCTAGTAAACGAAACGTTACACGTTACAGAACTGGTATAACAACCGACGACATCCAGAACTATACAATTAAAGCAAAGTCTAAAATTCAAGGTGCAACCACTACAACCTTCAGGCCAGAAATCATTACCTTGGCAGAAACAAGTAGAACTAAAAGTCGAAGCAGACCCACTACAATTGCAACTACAGCACCAATTACGACCACTGAGGCTGCATCGAATGATGAGAACTCGAAACTTCAACGTGATCAAACTACAACCGTTATACCGGAAACTACTGACGTCCCAGATACAACCGATATCCCGCTGGAATCGACTTCCGAATCCAGCACAATCGCGAATAAACGAACCTTTTCTAGTAAACATGGCGGAATATCCTCTGAAATCGTAGATGCAAACTTCAGTGAAGAGATGACTACCATTCCAGTTAGACTAACTACAACTACTGCACCAGAACTCACCACTCTCCCGGAAATAGCGGAAACTACTATATTGTCGGCCGAAGTTCTAAAGCTCTCAACGACTGAAGCAACATCAACCGACTATCCAGAAACGACGGAAAGAATTATGGCTGGCTCTTCTGAATCAAGTGAAAACTTTAACAACAGTAACTTCAAAAGTAACAGAGTAACAACGCCGTCTGAATTTGAGGAGGATAAGATGACTAAATCTAACTTTAAACATCGTAAAACTAGTGCTTCCACTGTTATTAATGATGATGCCGTATCACACACCTCAGCTATCAGTCACCGAAACTTGGTGCAATATAAAGATGAAACTTCATCCGAAAATGTGAAGAAAATCAGTGCTGGTGTAAAGTCCAAAGTTAGAGGTAGGCCACTTACAACGACTCTCCCAGAAATAAATGAAACTACGGAGTCAGCTCCTTTTGAATATGAAACAACTTCAAGTGTGGGCACAACATCTGAAGTGCTAGAGGATAGCACTAAAAAAACAAACAAAAGCTGGCTTGGCAAAACAACAACCATGGCATCAGTAACCACCATCTACCCAGACACAACCGAAAGTTCATTCTCATTTATACCCGATACAACCACCTCCGGGCCAAGTTTCGAGATTCGCCAGGGTAGCACATCGACTGAGGCACCAGAGGATAAGTTTATTCAAACAACACCTATGGATAAAGAAACATCATCAACAATAGTAGCTCCAGTTACTACGGACACTCCAGAAAAAAGTATATCAACTGCATTACCCACCACTGAAGCTAACGAACCAGTTATAACCACAATTCCGTTACCAGCGAGTATTTTTGACTCAACTACAAACGACGTTCGTTTTTTTGAAAATATAACCACTAAAGCCCCAGAAATAGCTCACAGCACCGGAAGCCAAGGTGTAACTTCCACTCCTGAGCAAACGACAACGGAAAGCATAACCACGGCAGCCACCCCAAAGAGAAATACGTCACAACAAGAAAATGACGTGACAAAGCACACCTTTCACAAAACGTCTTTCATCAAGACAAAAATACTTAACAAAGTTTCGAATGCAATGACAGCAAGTGTCGGTGGAGCAGAGTTGCCTACAAGTGAGCCCAAATTTAAAAATAAGGCTCAGACTACACACGAGTATGTACTAAAAAATAGTGCTGAGGCTACATCCACATCTTTGCATGGATTTGCTCGAAATAAATTACGGGTAGCGGTAAAGCAGGAACAGATATTGCACAGCTCACAAGAAACATCATTAGAAAATATAAGTAGACAATCCAGTGGCAATAGCAAAGATGAAATCCATAACAGCTCAACAACTGAAACTCCACACCGACGCACTACTCATCGGGGTACCTACCGTCCAAGTATGGATAAGGATGACTTGTCCTCCTTACTATCTGTGGACGTAAATAAACATCGATCTTATAATCGAACCCAATACAACCTCGGAAAGGGAATAGACGTGGATGGTGTAAATGAAGAAAGAGAAAATGCCGATTCGTCAAGTGAGCTTAGGCTCCGACAATCGAATGCCTCACAGCAGGAAACAATCAACTTTGACTCACATGTGAAGGTAGAGGCTCAAAATGTGGACCAGGACTTGAAGTCAACAAATGCAAGTGAGCACATCAGAAGTCGTTCGAATACGGGAAATCGAAAAACTACTGTAATTAGAAGAAGAATAAATAGCAGTCGAAATGCTGTCAAAATAGCCAAGGAGACAATTGGAGTAAATGGAGGTGAAGTAAGCCTTAATTTAGGCAAAAAAGAGAGGACTATAGCCACTTCCGGGTTAAATTCAACTAAAACTTCTGCTACAGTGCAAGACTTAAATCATAAAGGAACTACTAAAAACGCGGCGGCTACTTTTACCTCTGAAGAGGTAGGAAACTCTGCCGAAAATGGATCTGATCAGTCTGGTTCGAAGTCAGCAAAGCAAGCAGATAGTATATTAACAGCGAGTGAGTCAGAAAAAGTTGACATAGGAACGGATGAAAGTTCTTTAAGCGAAAATGGCAAAGGAAGAAGCAAAGACGGCCCAAAGATCGATGAGAATATTTCCGAAAATGATTCATCAACAAAAGAATCATTAATAGCAAGCTCTTCTAGCTACAAAGGAAGAGATGCGAAGTTAGATATTTCTGCTCAAAGTAATCAAAGCAGCACAACCTCCAATACGGAATCCACATCGAATTCAAAACGTCTCAGCACAGTTTCGAAAAATTTAAAAATAGTTGGAACTGACATTAATTCAACATTGCAGGTCGCAACGGAAACTTGGAATGCTGAGAATACAGAAAGAAATTCGACAGAAGCCTCTAAATTTCCCGCAAAAGAAATTAGTTCAGATCAATCATACGATACAAGTAACGGTAGTTTAACAAGGAACCGAACTTCTCTCAAACCATATAGCACACGTGCTAGATATGGCGCGCGTGCGCAGTACTCGAATCAAGGCAGACTCAAAGCCGCAAACCGTGTTGGTAGTTCGGAAAGAGTTTCTGCTACCAATGTAATAGAAGAAAATGGTGTCATAAAAACTGGAACGCGTACCTATAATACAGCTGATAATGCGAAACAGAAGACCTTTAAACGTGTGCACACCAAAACGGTACAAAAAACTGAACCTGAATATGAGTATGTATATGAGGTCGTAACTGAGAAGATACCGGCCAGTACACCACGACCTGTAACACGAAACCGTGGTGGTGTACGCTTCCGAGATGCGGATTTATCTTCACTTCTTTCACTAGATTTTGCGCCGAAATCAAGACGAAAGCAAGACAGTGAAAAGACGATCGTCAAGACAAGAAGAAAAGTAATTAGAAAACCACCTACTGTGATGGAAAATGACAATGTTGAGGAATATGAATATGAAGAAAGAACCAGACCACCACGACCAACCACAACGAATGAAGCTACTCCAATTACGCGTCGGACACGACCTACAAGGCCATTGCGACCGACAACAACAACATCGCAAAGTGTTAGTGTGATAGAAGGAGAGGAAGAAGTGCAACTGGAAGCGATAACTACGGCGCCAAAACAAATAACCAGAATAGAGGTTTCTTTAAAGAGGCCACGTTTTAGGGAAACAACAAAAACAACCACTGAGGTTCCCGAGACCACCGAATCCGTAAAGACAACCACTGAGCAAGTGATACAGACAACGCGAAAAGGTTTTGCATTCAGAAGGCCGGTGGCAACAACCCAGGAACCAACTGGCACTACTGCAACAGCAATTACGAAAGACAGTGGAGCAACAATAAAGCCAGAGTTACGCCAAAGAGTAATAAATTTACAAAGGCCGGTGAACACAACGGAAGAAGAAAAGGTGAAAGACGATAAGCTTGACCCTGAAACTGCCTCGAAGCAATCCGTTGAAATTAGTACACCGAATTCTCACATAACTAACAGTGATGAAGACGCAATTGCGACAACCACACTGACTCCACTTGAAGCAACTACGTCGCAGACTACTAAAACTATGCCTTCAACCACTACTGCTGATGCTGTGACAATGATAACCACAGGGAGATCTTCTGAAATAACTTCGTCCCACAATTCCAAATCTGCGGAGGATTCTTTTGATATTATCAAGAAACATATCTCCAGCGCTATGAGTACACTAAATGAAAATGGCGAAGGTAATAGTTTCAGGAGTGGTACTACAACCTTAACAAAGACAACGCTTACAAATGCAACTGCACATAATGACGATGGTAATCTCGCAACAAATTTAGAATCAGAAACGGGTGCTTCACTTGAGGAGTCGGTTTCGAAATTGAATAATGAGCTCAGCGACAACGGTGAAGATTCTTCCATCTCATTGCCAATTTATCACAGAAGGAAATATTACCAGTACTACAAAGATTCGCCAGTGATCTATATAGGCAAACCACAGCCACCTCTTTCGACACAAACCAGCTCTGTCGATATAAAGAAACAAATACACGAAGTTTTTAATATAAGTAATGACAGCAATACATCTGTTGCCTCTGATGAGAGCAACACAAATGATGAGCATTTTTTATTGAAAACCCCCGGGTCAAAGTAGATGGGCACCTGGGGGCAAAATCAATCGGTTCAAAATTTACAACATCTGGAGAAGAATTAATTGATGACCAAAACGCAAAATCCGAATTGGAACAAATATTTGCTGCAGGTATTGTTCCATCGACCAACAAGCAAGCCAAGGACGAAATTGATGAAAAGCGCAACGAATCATCACATCGTGTTGGTAAAACCTTTAGAGAACAAAACTCCAAAATTACAAAACTTTCGGCCCTTAACCCCGACTTAGATTCTGCCCAAGCCAACCCCACTACTGAAACAATATTACAACAAGAAACACCGACTATTAAAATAACAATACTTCCACAAGATTCAGATGATCGAAACGAAGACTCACGCGCCTTGCGCAATTATACAAGAATTAACCACATACGTACTACAACAGAAACCTCCAAAAAAAGAGTTATCAGCGCGCTATATCAATTGCGAACCAAATCTACTATTGAAAACGATACTAGTAAAACCATAAATGAGACTGAAGAGCAACAATCAAATAGGACACAGTCTGTGTCAGAAAAAGTAGAAGTGATGCAAAATGTTGATGTCGAAAATGAGAAGAAAACCACTAACCTAAATGTTGTTAGTGCAACAAATCGACGAATTTTCAATAGATTTACTAAACCAACTCGTCGATTTTCAACGAAAAGCCCAGCTGATGATCAATTGAAGCAAGACTCCACAAACGATGACCAAACTATATCCAGTCGTCCCTTTGCTAGAGTGAGTTCAACAAGAAATTCAGCGGATACCATTACAAATGATCTCTCGGAGAGTACAACTAGACGCTCTTTAAATTCTCTAAACTTATTAGGATATAGAACATCGACTGCTAAAACACCAGATAAAAGCGAGTACAGTGAAATAGAATGGGAGAAAGACAATACCGTAAAGACAACACGCAGGCCTTTGATTACCTTGAACAGATTTAAAGCTACAACAGAGAGATACGCAAAAGAACAAGAAAGCAGCGAGGTAAACCCAACAGAAAATACGATTACAACAGCAACAATAAGACGGACTTATTCTGCAATAAATAGACTACCTCCCAAATCCACTACGCCGAGAACAGATTATGAAAATTCAACAGAGAGTTCAGATGAGGATAGCACTAGTATTAATCTAAGCACCGAACGCCGACCCATACTTGCAGTAGACAGACTGCGGAGCACAACGGAAAAAACTGTGGAGTATAATCAAGCAACTCGTCGCCCCTATGTGTCGCTTATTCGTAAAGTGCCGACAACATCAACCGAAAGTAACAAGGACGAGCTCGAATTACTGAATGGTATTTCTGCTACCGAAAGCTCACCAGAGAATGTCCCCACACTAGCATATGCAACCACAAATAGATTTAAAAACAAAGTTTCTACTGAAAGTTTTATCAAATCTAGTATTGACGAAGCAGAGAAAGGAGAAGAAAAATATGAACTGAGCGGAGAGTATACAACAAAGCGTACTTATTTGGCTTTGAATCGTTTGCGCACAACCACCGAAATAGTGGAAAGTGCTGAATCGAGTCAAGGCGATGTAACAGAAATGGCTGAATATCACTCTGGTATTCTCAAAGAAAGCGAGATTGAGATCGCTGAACAAATAGCCAAGCACAGTAATAGCTCAACCTTAGATGCTGATATTGAAGATACTACGATGAGTGGAGATATAAAAGAACAAAATGCAGAAAGCGTTATCCTAACTGCTACATCGCGCAGGCCTGCCATAATACCAAAGCGTATTTACACCCCAACCACTCCAAACGCAAAAACCAAGGAAACTGAAATAGAAGAGAGTGGTAATACTATTCACAAACGAATACAAAGCAGCACCTATTCAGGTGAAACACTAAGTACTACAGCTGGTGAAACCGCAGTTCGTGAATTTACACTTAAACCGACTGTAATCCGAAGACGTTTGAATGCAACGAGTACAACGCTGGAAACAGATCTAACTACCGATGCCACAGAGAGTGTAATTCTACCTACAACGCGTCGTGTTTATGCGACTTTTACTAGAACGCAATTGAGTACAACAACTATAATTCCAAATGAGTCGTTAGAAAGTGATGAAGACACTTCAGATACGATGATGGAAGGTTTCACTTCTGCCACCAAACTTACTTCTGGGCAAACGAATAGACACAGGGCGCTTTTGTCGCAAGAAGCGGCAAATTCCGAGGTGATAGAAAATGACACTGGAGACACAACCCGTGCCCAAAGAAACTTCACGACTTCGAAAACTGCAGATGTCAAGTTAAGCAGCGATGCAGTTACGCAGGATTCAACAACCACAGTTCGCAATTTCAATCGCTCGATCCGCTTTCGTATTACAACCGAGGCAAGTGCGGTGCCAAGCGAAAAAGAAACCACTGAAACGCCGGCAGATTCAACGATTCGCCGCGCGTTTAAAACATTCGATCGTTCAAGGACAACAACTTTAGCACCTACGGAAACGTTGACAACAAAACGCACTTTTAGTATTTTTAGCCAAAAAGAACGGCCAACTACAACAAAGCGGCCCTTAACACCAGCAATAAATAGAAGTATATACCAAAAGCACGAAGAGAGAGATTTGGGCGAAGAGGAATACAGCGAGGAATACGATGTGCTGATAACTTCGGATAGGTCAACATTCCAAAAGCCTCAGACCTTTACGAGGCAACAACTCGGTACACGAAGTCCATTTACTCGACCCTTCACAGAAATTACAGAAACGTATGATAAATATGAGGATAGTGAGGACGAAGACGATGAAAGTTCTGTAGAAACTAATGACCGACCACAGTCACTAAGGCGACTACAAGTACCTAGACCTTCAAATGAACTGCAGAGTAGTCTAAAAAACTTACGAAATAGTGTAAAACAAAGTGAGACACGAAATAAAAATGGCGAGGGAGTAGTGAACCCGAGACCGCAATCACTTTTTACTGTCAGGGCAAAGACTATAGAAACAATTAATAATAGAAGAACGAAAATCATTTTGAACGATGACGAACTAGACAACAAGCAGGAAATTGACATTGATGAAGAGGGCAATAGCAAGAGAGTTGCCAGGCCTTATGTGAAAAATAGAGTACCTAGTTTGTCCGCAAGTCGTAGTAATACTAATCGTTTCGGCACCTTAGCAAATTATTTAAGTAAATCTAAATCTAACAACACTCAAATAACCGATGATGTTAGTAGTAATGTAGATAAAGAAGCGGAACGTGAGGCTGATAATCTGATTGATAAACTTGATTATAATGATGAAGCTGATGATCGCAGCTATAATGATAAGGGTAATGAAGTTAATTCTAACCGACGTTTTCAGAAATATCAATACAACCGCTCAAGATTAACAACTACCACAACAACGACTACTGCTGCTCCTCCTACTGCCACGAAAGCACCATCAAACCTATTTTCATCGAAGCAATTGTACCAGTCGAGCAGGAATAGAACAGCAACTACAACAACAAATCAGGTAAATGCGTTAGTAGATGAAGGGGATGATGACATTGATGATGAATACAGCACAACCACAATCACCGAAAGCACTCTGAGCTCTAGTCCAACTCCCACACTCAGACGGATACGGGTTTTAAAGTACCGTCGTCCCATCGGCGGCACAAATACAATTAGTAATGCTACTTTAGTTAATACTTTAAATAGTGATAGTAGTAATTCCACAGTTTTTAGTGTTACTAATACTACCAACACTGTTAGCCATGGTTTAGATACGCTCAACTCGAGCAGACAGAAATTAAATCGGACAAGATTAGAACCTCTGAATACCCAAGACTCAAATGCAAATGAATCGCAAAGCGAAAGTCCAGTAAGTGCAGATGTGGTACCCACTAAACGGTTCCGTAAAGTCATACGCAAATTAATTCGGCCAGTTAATCGCACTGTTGACGGCACTCCGGAAGTGCCATTTACAGATCAATCGCGTGTTAATGCCACGCGTTACGGTTCTAGACGTGGGAATAGTTTCCGAGAACATACGATTGTTTCTGAGAATGTGGGAAGTACGACCACTTCATCGAAAAACTTTAGCTTAGAAAGTCTTAATTCAAATGTCACGTCGAACGACAGTAATTTCAATGCTTCTAGAACTATTTTATTTGGCAGAGGCAGTCGAGCTCGTTTCGGTAACCGCCTTATAGCTAATAGCAATAGAGAACTGCCGAAAGTGGATGATGACGTTTCTGAAACGCACAATGAAACAGAAACTGAAGAAGATAACGTGAGTGTAACAACAAATACGCCTTCAGTTATTTCTACACTCTTAACAGATAAAGACAGCAGCTCTAGCAATATTACAGTTGTATTGACGCGCTTTAGTAGCACGACGAAGGGTGCCATTGAAGATGCACAAGCTGTTAATGAAAACGATAGTGAAGATGAAAACGTAAATGCCGAGGTAGATGTGAAAGATGAGGATAATGAGGAGGTGAGTGCAACATCATCCGCCTCCTCAGAAGAACAAGACACGGATGTTCAACGTAGTCGGTTGAATAAGCTTACCTTTACACGTAACAATGCTGCACAAATTACTCCAACGAATTCTAATGACGCTACAGTTCAAGAAAAACCACGACCCGATGTTGCATCGACACGTTTGAAAAAGCTATTACCCGATGACAATACGGCAACCGCTATAACCAGCAATGAGCTGCAACAAAATGAGATCGGAAAAGCCGTTCATGATACTCAAACGAAGAGTATAGCATTCCGACGTCCATTCAGTCTGATTTCACATACAAAAACTACACAAAACGAAAGTGAAAGCCACAGAGAAATACTAGAAAATGTAGAAGTAACAACGACCAAAGCTCCTTTTACTCGCCCAACGTTCCGCAGAAAATTAATCGCTAAACGCCCATACGTCCCAGCGAAGGTTTCCGGTATTACCATTTCAACTATAGTTCCGACTTCACCGAAACCAACAAGAAAGTTTGTGCGGCGCAAGTTCGGGCGCTTCCATCCCTTCAATGCCGTTAATCGCAACAACGGCGAGGGTTTTGTCCGCATAGATCCACGAAGTCAACTGCTTCCAGGAACGAAGCGTTTCCGTCTTGAGAGCGGCAAGCGGGTACCTATTCCAGATACTGAAACTTTAGGAGAGGATGACGAATATGAAGAGTACGAGGACGAAGATGAAGAGGAAGAAGAGTCAACTCCGAAAACCGACCAAAATAAATCCCAAAATCCCCTCTCACCTATCTCAGTTATTACTCTAAGACCAGTAACACGCCCGTCAAGTTTATTCAATAGAACATCAACCACATTGTTGCAACCGGTTAGGGACAATGAAAAAAAAGTTGAAGAAGAAAATGAAGAAGACGAAGATGGTGAAGGGGATAAGGAGGAAGAAGAAGAAGAAGAAGAAGGCGAGGACGGAGAAGATGGAGAAGATACCTATGTGGATAACGATGCACCAAAAGACACAACACCTAAGTTCAATGCGCCCACATACCGGCCCAAGGACAATCGTGTTCCACCAGGTGCAAGACCCGTCCTACCTTCTTCATCTACACCATCATCATCTACAGGTAAAGTATCTTTTAACGGAAGAGGACGCCAGCAACCTAATCGCTTTGCCTCAAGCACCTCAGGTAATCGTTTTGGTTCATCTACGCCAGGTAATGCGCGCACTACAAATAGACCGCGCGTCGTGAACCGACCGCAAGGTGTGGCACCGCCAAGTCTGCCAGTTAAACNTCCCCTCTCACCTATCTCAGTTATTACTCTAAGACCAGTAACACGCCCGTCAAGTTTATTCAATAGAACATCAACCACATTGTTGCAACCGGTTAGGGACAATGAAAAAGAAGTTGAAGAAGAAAATGAAGAAGACGAAGATGGTGAAGGGGATAAGGAGGAAGAAGAAGAAGAAGAAGAAGAAGAAGGCGAGGACGGAGAAGATGGAGAAGATACCTATGTGGATAACGATGCACCAAAAGACACAACACCTAAGTTCAATGCGCCCACATACCGGCCCAAGGACAATCGTGTTCCACCAGGTGCAAGACCCGTCCTACCTTCTTCATCTACACCATCATCATCTACAGGTAAAGTATCTTTTAACGGAAGAGGACGCCAGCAACCTAATCGCTTTGCCTCAAGCACCTCAGGTAATCGTTTTGGTTCATCTACGCCAGGTAATGCGCGCACTACAAATAGACCGCGCGTCGTGAACCGACCGCAAGGTGTGGCACCGCCAAGTCTGCCAGTTAAACCAATTGCCACCACTTTTGAACGTACCACTCCGGTAATCCCAACCAAACCGGCACCATTTATTCCAACCAACACACGTTCTTATGAGCGAAAATACATAGCCACCTCCACAGAAACACCGGAAACTAATAGCGATAACTCACTTATTGAAGATCTAAATATTGAAGCACTAAATGCACGCAACAAAAAGATATTTGATATCAACAGCAAAAAACACACTACCCTTAAACCGAAAATCGCCATAACAGGCAGTAAACAAACACCAACAGATCAAGAACAAGATACACAAGATCTTACCAAACAAAACACAGAAACTGAAAACGATGATGAATACACCTCAGTTGTTGGCGGTAACGAAGGTTACATAACCACAACGCCACGCACACCCGCCTCCGGCGACACGAACACCGATTATTATATCAATGCTAATGAAATCTCTTCACAGGACAATGAGCCAGGCGCAGAACGTACTGGGTACACGACGCAACAAACACCTACCACGACTCTTTTGCACGTTTTCACGCAGACAGGCCACGACGAGCCAACACATCGGCCACCAACAGCGAATGCCAACTTCATTGGCCGCCTTGTCCCCGAGAGAGCACGTCCGAAACACAAGGTGGTAGAGATCAATCGTATTGTCGAGATTACCTCAAAAGAAGACAAGCTACGGCGCAAATCAAAGGCGAATCATGAGTTCCTCCAGCCGATCGGCACGTCAAATATACGGGTCGAGGAATTGCCCCATGTAGAACAGCTGGGCGAAATCAGCGTTGTGAAGTATGTCCATCTAGTCGATGGCAGTGACATTTCCATCGACGGCCACAGCACAGTTACCGATTACACTCCAACTGAGCCAACGGTCTCAATGCCCGTAAGAAATTCGTTGCCCGAGGGCGTACCTTACTATGTGCCCCAGTATGCGTACTCTACGGAGAGTGCACAAGCACGAACTACATTGGAACAGCGGAATGGTAAAGCACTGGTACCCGAGGTGATAAGAAGCGCAGTTGAGAGTTCGACAATATCCTTGGAAGCCCTATTCGATGGCGAACGGCAAGGTAAAGAATTAAATTCTGTAAATAGTGTGTACTACATATTCGGATCAGATGACAAAAATTCAACCAGTACCAGTACCAATACCGCTAACGTGAACGACAGTGAGAACGAAACCCAAAACATAAAAATCACAATTCCAAATACAGGTACAAGTACGTCTTTACCGACCTTGTTAACGATGACCACCACTGAGAGTGCTTTGCCCCTTAACCTAAATAGTGATATTGTAAATAACATACCTAACGAAGCATTCCCAAATTTAGAGTCCACAACGATTGTAGGCAATAGCTTTGTTGAGGAGAGCACAACAAACATACCGCTCATATCAAACTCAACCACCATTGAGGCAACACTTTCCGTAAATGGTGCCGCAGATGATGTTAACAACAATTTCTTGGAAACGACCACAGTTAAGACCGCAACAACCGATGATGGTCCTACTAATGCAGATAATGCGGTTAAGTTAAATACATACGTAAGACCCGTTGTCCCTCTACCCCTGTTACGCCCTGAATCCAATGAGTCCTCCCCCTTAGTTATTACAATAGCTAATCTTGACAAAGTCATACTCAGTAAAGTAGATCGCACCAGTTCAGCCGAAAATAAATCAACTACCTACACAGACACAGTCTCGCAAACGAAGACACAAACACTATTGGGAGAGCCTAGACCCGTAGATTCGAATGCGGAGTACTCAAGTCGCTTTGCTTCCATTATTGAGGCTCCCACCAATCTCGTACACGTTGCAGGTGGTAAAGCCAACAACAAAGTTGAGGGTATGTCTCAGCACGAAGTGCACAGTGTTGGTAGTGGTAGTGGCAATACTGATGTAGGTTCTAGTGTTAGTGCGAGTAGTAATTCGAGTAGCTTAAGTAGTGGCAGCATAGTGACAGAAGTGATAAGTTTTAGTACAAAGACGCATGTTGTGCGAAAGAAGAAATCTCGTAAACATAGAGCGCGAAAATTGGGAAAGTCCAGAAAGCGCCCCACCACCACAGTGCCACCAGTCATCGCTGCAACTGGAACAACCTCACCGAGAGTAAACAGAGTGGATGAGGGGTACCTAAGTAGCAGCAGCAGCACAAGCACAACCAAGTCTTCAGCTAAAACGGCGACAACGCCCAGAGTAAGGGTGGTGAATATTGCTTAATAGCGATGAAGCCTGGAGCTTTCGTTTAGCTTATTTCAAGAGTTATTTTTGGAAAAGGGAAGTCGAATCAAATAACAGAAAGTAGTAGTAGTTGCCCATATCGATTGAAAATTGTTGAAGAGGATCGAAAAGAAATGATTATCTCTAAACAATAGCGTTTTTTGCTTTAAATACTCATTATAGTTTATAAATTTCTAGTCTTACCGTTATTTTGTCCACAACCATGACATATCGTTATACATATATGCTGAGGTGTATTAATATGTTAATAAATAACTGTAAATAAATATTAAACGTATCTATGAAAAAACCATTGACTTCGTTTGCTTCTTAACAATTTTTATTTGAAACTAATGGAAGCCTAGCATTAATCTCTCTTTCTCTCTCACACACACTATTTGCTTTACGCTTTCTCTTCCAGCTCACTGTCACTCTCTTCTAGCCATTTATTTTTGTTTTCCTTTTATACCCAATGCATAAGGTTGTTAGTGCCACATAAACTCAGATCTGAAATCAGCTGACAAACTAACGGGGTGGCTTCTGAACAAACATGAGAGATGATCACAGTACATTCATAATTTGTTTTCTAAAGATATGTCACTTCTACAATGAAAAATTACGACAAAAGTATAATTTATTCATATGTATACGGGTAAGAAGTATCTTCAAACAAAGTTTAGTCTTTAAGGGCCTAAATTTCACTTCACTTTGACAAAAAACTATCAATGCAAACTTTAAACAAACATTATTATAGTCTAAGCTTTTCGATGGAGTAAACTTTGGTACAATTAAGATGGAAGGAAGGAGGAAAATATAAATTGGATCATACTTGCAACTTGCAAACGCCTTTCCTAAATGTTGCCCTAGTCTTTTTGAGATAAATGCTCAGAACATCGACGACCACGAGAGCTTGAACCTTGAACGCGCCCAAACTAAATATTTTTAAAACTTAAAAAAAGTTATTTTAGCGGGATATGTTTTGGTAGTCATTAGGTTAGAAGAAAAAAGAAATTCCAAAAGCACATATGAGAGTTTTAGGTCACAGTAGATACCTCAGATTACACTCGATCAGCGACGACCAGAGAGAACATTCACTCTATAAGCTCCCATATAAAATCGCGATAAATCTTAAAAAAAAATACTCCTTCGAAATATTTTGATAGTGACTGATCTACTACTTTAATCTCAAGCAATTCTAACAAACCCCATTACCGTTCTCTTCCACTGGTAATTTATCTGAAGTCTTTAAACCTCAGAAATTTTAAAGATTCCCCTCCCCCCATAGAGGGGTACTAAAGCGGAAAATGAGTGTGAGGGAATTTGGAAAACCCTCAATCTAACTATGCATTGGATATAAAGAGTAACACCTGAACATTAATATATTTTTTTTTCTTATTTTTTGACCATAACCTCATTATGCCTGACTATCGTCGTAAAATTTAGCTGATACCGATTCCAGTTTTGAATTTTTGTAGCGGTTATTTATGAGTAAGCTGTTTTTCATGGCAGAAATACACTCGGAGGTTTGCCATTGCCTGCCGAGGGGCGACCGCTATTACTTAGCCTTTTTTTGATGCTGGGTTGAACTGGGCGTGAACCCAGCCTATGCGGAAGGGTAGCGCGCACTGTTAACCACTACACTACAACGGCCTCTTCTCATAAAAATACAATCGCCGTTCGGAGTCGGCGTAAACTGTAGGTCCCTCCCCCTTTTTTTTTGTGTGACAACATCAAGGCGCACACCACAAATCGGAGGAGAAGCTCGGCCAAACACTACCATATGTGAAAGCGCCATTCAATTATTTACTTATAAGTAAATAAATTAGTTACTTATCCACACAACGGCTTTTTTACTCTGAGGAATCGTTAGTGTTCATGTTCTTCACATAAAGATAGACAAGCATATGTATGTATGTACATTAGACCATATATAATGCGACCAGACTTCGACTCAAATTTTAGTATTTGGTATAGTAATGATCCTTCATAATTTCGCCACTGTAGGAAAATTCTAAGAGGTCGCTCATCGAGCGCTCATAATTCCCATAGGAATAACACGTAAGAAAATTAGGAATTTTCTTTTGAGACCATTATAATTTTCTATGATCAATCAAAACGCTCGAAACTATAAGAATACATTGATTACATGACATTTAAGTATTATGGGGGCTCAGNATTAATTTTAATCTTTTAAGACATTTTCTGATTTCAATTTAATATAAATAAGTATGTACTTATCTAGGCATTCTACATTAGTTTCTCTGTAAGGCATTCTTTGTTCGCTTCTCTGGATTCTGTTTATCCATGCGTTCTCCCTTCATTTGAAGGTAATGCTGCGGGTAAGGGCTTACCGCCAATGACATGCCCATGTTAAAATAAGGCCTTCTTCAAGCGAAAGGGTTAGCTATTCCTNCGCCTAGCTCGTTTCCACTTTCGTTTCTGTGGTAATCGTGTTTTTTGCTGTGTA